AAAATATAAATATTTATTAAATAAAAATGTTAGTGATAAAATAATTAGACAAGACAAAATATAAAATAAAATATAATGTAAAATAAAGTAAAATATAATATAAATAAATAATAAAAATAAAATATAAATATTTATTAAATAACAATAGTTAGACAAGATAAAATATAAAATATAATATAAATAAATAAAAAAATATAAAATAAAGTAAAATATAATATAAATAAATAATAAAAATAAAGTATAAATATTTATTAAATAACAATGTTAGTGATAAAACAACAGATGATTAGACAAGACAAAAAAACAAACAGATTAAAAACTCAAATAAACACTTTTTTTAACAACTTTCTCTCTCTCTCTCTCCTCTCTCTCCAATCCAACTTGCTCGATTCTCTCGTTGCCCCTTTTCTTAAACGCGACTAAAATATAATAACTACGACGCTACGATATTTATATTCGAGCGAATAATCGAAGATTAAAGTCACTTCCGGCTCTGGTTGAGACTCCAAAGATTTCGTCCGAGCTAACATGGATGCAATTGGTTTTGAACTACGCGCCGCCATGTCGCCATGTTTCCTGGAGCAACGTTTTAACGAGGAAAATTTGTAACATAATATTAAACGTTTCTCCCTCGACTTTCCCGTAATCTTGGAATTTTTAATTTCCCGGGGGAAGAGACTGGCGAAAAATGATCAGTTTGTAATTTTAAAAATATAAAATTTCCATCGGGGAGAGGGGGAGAAGAAAAAAAAATGGAAGAACTTCGTAATATAATGGTCGTTTCGTACCATTTTATAATCTTGCACGATTTTTAACTTTAAAACGTTTTTCTCGATGAAACGTCGTATACATATGTATTATTCGTTTCCTTCTATTCCTTTTTTCACCTGTCTTTCAACGTCTCCGATAGAAATTTTCTGGCTCGATCGTCGACAACTCTAACGTTAAATGCTTTCGATTATCAATTCGAAAGCAATCTCTTCGAAGCGAATCACTTTGGCCAATTCGACTCGTACCTGCTCGCGGTTTTTAGTAATTTCGGTTTCGTTGTGTCGTAATTTTTTAGTTCGATCGTTGGAGAAGAAGATCGAGACTTAGCGATGCCTCGCGACAGAGCGATGATGGTTTCACGATCTCGTTTATGTTCGTCAAATCCAGGATATCGTCCACTGGCGAGCATTAGAGATTCGCTGACGAATGATCGCAATTACAAGCGAGTACCGATGGCACAGTATGACGGTACATCGATGCAAAGCAAGAGCGCTCGAGATCGGTAATGACAAATTTAAACCCTCTCTCGTGTATGAGATATCTCGCAGCACAGTTTCATTCAAGGGATTCCGCAGACGAGATATATCTCACGTATCTATTTTCCAATATTGGCTGCCGAATATAACGCTTCGCGTTAACACTAGATAAATCCGGAATGATCCGCAACCACGATCAATTCATAATTTTCGCAATTTTTGGAATATGTGCAATACATTAATTATTAGTTAGTCTATCAGTTAATCTAAACAAATAAAAAAAAAAAAAAGGAAAAATGTAAATCTCTTTCTACTCCTTGCGTTTTAATTTTACATCTTAATCGTCGATAGTGTTAGTATTGTTTTTAATCTTTGATCGTTATATATCTCTGTCGTGGGGTACATTTCATCTCGAGACGAGTTCGCACGAAATAAGTGATAACTCATTGCGACGAGTCTCTTTCTATTCGTAGAATATCCTCTCATCTGAAGACTTTCTTCTCTCCTCTCTTTATTAGCAAGATTGCAAGATTGCAAAGAGGAGGATATTTACGCGCCGGAGACTGCGAGATAAACTTTTTCCCGCCCATTAATAGAACGGGGGCTTTATGACTGCGTAATTTCATTCTTCATTTTCCCTCGTTTATGCGAAAGTTTCCAGAGTAAAATAATCAGCAA